AAGAAAGTTTGTCTTCTGTGGATTGTATTATTCTTCTCAACGGGGCGCAGCTTCCGAGAAGGGGGTTTGAATGCTTGAAATCAACCCCAACTATAAAGCAGCAACACCATAGCTGCGACAATATTTGCTAAAGTTCCACACCACCATTAAGTGTAAAGAAGCCCTGTCCTTTATTTAGTCCAATGAGCTTAAGGTAGCATGTATGATTTCCCCCTGTAAACCTTTTCTTCCCAATAATCCTGTGAAGTCAGCTAGGCTCAAAAAGAAAGCAAGAGAGACATACAGACAGAATGTAATGCCTCAGTGGTAATCACTCAGGTGCTGATGACAGTGATGATTATTATTTATAGCATGTCTTTGCCCTACACACTGAGGTCTAGACCTATATCTTCTTGATTCTAGTTTAAAACTCTTCTATAACACATAGGCTCACTCACTAACATGGATGTACATTGATGGAAGAAGAGTTAGATAGTGAGATTTGTTGTCATGTGCCTTCAGATTATTTATGATTTATGGTGAATCTAAAGAGAGCATGAATTTTCTTCACATGGGGTTTGCCATTACCCTCCCTTGATTCTGAGAGTGTGTGATTTACCCAATGTCACCAAGTGGTTTCCATCCCTGGTCTCCTTGAGTGCTAATCCAAAACACAAACCACTACTTGTTCTCTGTCATGGTAATGGGGTACCATGTCAGTATTTTGAAAAGATATTTCAGGCCAAAAAGATTTGAGTCATTTATGTGAGTATAAGACTTATGGATGTTTATGGATACATAACATTAGCAATTAAAGCTATGGACAAAAGATGTAATGGGAATCGGGGGGGGGGGGGGCATTGACTGTAGAGAGGCTTAAGCCAAAGGACAGTTGTTTTGTTCTAGATGAGATAAAGGAAACAGAACAAATGTTTCAGGTTTAAGCTATTTCTTCAGGATCAGCTTGTGATGAAAGACTGAACCCTTATCTTTAGTATTCAGAGTACTAAAATGATGAGGTTACATTTCTCTTTAAAGACTCCTGATAATCAATCTTTGCATTCTTTCTGGAACAACCTTGTCTTTGAGGTCTCTGGCACCATGCTGGGTTCCCAAATAATAAAATAATAATAAAAATTCTTACCAGCCTCTCCCTGTGGCTTGAAACCATGTTTTAGGTTTTTTCTGGATGCTAGGCACGACCACATGGACCATTATGTCAATCAGATTCCAAGATTTCATTAAAGATGAGTAAGCATATGGGCATTGGGTTTCTAGATTTGAAGAAGTGGAATATGGTACCCCTAGTTTGTACAGGCTGCATGCAATGTAGAAATACAGCAATGATTATTTATTTACAGTATTATATACACATGAACATATATTGTCCCCTGTGTTTTTTCTATAGCCCCTGAAGCTGGCTTTGGAGTATCCATAGGCTGAAATATGACAGGCTCTTTAGCATCTTGGGACACCTTTTTTCTTGTAGACAAGTTCCACACAACTGCAGGTAATACCGATGGTCTGCAGCTGTGCTCTTGGTGAAAGCTTGAAATCTATTGGTGATGAGAAAACGTTCAGTTTTAGGACCTCTTCACATGGTGCACTGAGGCCTGATGAACTCTGTTTGGACTTTAAAACTGCCTTCAGTACAGGAAGTACTGGTAAATGCCTTGCTTATTTGTAGCTGCCTAAAACAGGACATAGGTTAATGAATCTTTCAGCAAAGCAGAAAGTTTCCTCTAGAAGGCACTGTTGTTCTTTCCAAAGTAAATGCTCTGTACTGAGTGAGGGATGCTGCCTAGTTTTGTCCAGAGATCTGGAAAATGAAGATGAGAGAGATCCATATTGGTGATTGGCCTTGAGGTTTGGCTTGTGATATTTGCAGCTTTATTTCAGGAGGAACTGGCTGGCATCCCAAAACGTTCAGATTCACAGGTTTAAATAACAGCTCCACTTTTGGTAATCCCCCAAAACCAAACAAAGCCAAACCAAAAGTAAAACCAAGATGTTAGTGGCACCTCAAAGACAGATTTATTAGGGCATATCTCTTCATAAAGTGAACTTAACTTTTAATGAACTATACTTCCCCAAACAAATGAAATGATGCTGGTTTTGTTCTAGCATCGCGCCTACCCTGACAGCTCTACGTTCCTTTTAAAAGGCTATTTTTCTACTCATTTAAATATTCTAATGTTAAATTCATATTTTATCTTTTTAATTTAATTGCACCGTTTGCAGTGGAAAGGCAATATAAATGTAATTTCCAGTTGGTCCTTGATGTTCCCTGAGATTTGGTTCCAGAACTCCTCATGGTTACCAAAATCCATGGTTGCACAAGTTCCATTTAATTCAATTGAATAGTAAAATAGTGTCCCTTATAAAATGCCAAAATGAAAGTGTACTTTTTTGAATTAAACCAAACAAGCACATTTTCAGCTCCCTGAATACAGAAGGCCAATGTATGCACATTTTAAGAGAAGTACATGCCATTGATCAGAATGTGAAAATTTTGATTTAAAATGGTAAACCTACCTTAGTATTAGGGAGAATCAGTTGATACTGAAGCAGTATATTAACAAATATCCTCTCTTTGTAAGTTTGTAAACTTGTGCATATTCTGAGATATACACATATAAGGGATCTCTTAATTTTCGCAGCAGCTGGTGTCAGCACATTTATCCTCAATTACTCATATCAATCCTTTTTCTTGGAGTAATTCACTATCACACACAAGAATGTATCGCCTCCACCTGGGCACTTGCAACATCCAACCACTGCCCTGCAGGAAGCATTCCAAAAAGAGGGATGTTTATTTATTTATTTATTTACTCCATTTGTATACCGCATTTATCAGCCTGCGACGGCGACTCAATGCGGTTTACAGTAAAAAAGGGCAACACTGACAGTATATAAGACGCACATACACAAACAACACACAAAGTCATCAACGCCTCAATTAGAATCAGATCCCGTTCTCATAGTCCTTTTTCGTTCCTTGTTCAATGCCGTCTTACTGAGTTAGTTGTCATTGCATAGTTGTCCAAACGCCTGCTCATAGAGCCACGTCTTAACCCTCCTCCGAAACACCAGCAACGAAGGTGCCTGCCTGATGTCCACTGGTAGGGCATTCCATAGCCGAGGGGCCACCACTGAGAAGGCCCTGTTTCTCGTCCCCGCCAACCGCGCTTGCGACGCCGGCGGGACCAAGAGCAGGGCCTCCCCGGACGATCTTAAAGT